GTAAAATGACAAATATATTAACAGGAGGATGGGATATCGATATCTAACATTTTGTGAATATGGCTTTTTTTATTATGATAATTTTATAGCGTCGAGTCAACAATCGCGAAGAGCAATCGATTGCTGACTTTGGATTTAATTTTAGTTAAATGCGACGACAGTCAGTAGTGACACTGGACTGTTATTCGCCCTCGAGTTAATTGACTATTCCCTGTAGGTTGGGGTATACTTGCGTCTATCTCAACGCACGTCTCCTTCTTAAGCGAATGTTGTGTCGGAGTTCGGGACCTGTCTCAGTTCAGAACCCAGTCACTCAGCCCAGAACTCGGTTGTCTCAGTTCCGAACCCAGACACTCAGTCAGAACTCAGTTATCTCGGTCCAGAACTGAGACAGGTCCGCCACGAGAATATCGACCTGTATATTCTTCACTCACTTTCGTTACGAGAGGTTTAAAGAAAGTTTATATATTGCATTTATTATCCTTTTGTTCGAACAAATCAGTTTAAATAATGGATCGCTTACAATAAGCTAACAACAAAAGTTTAACGATGTTTCGTATGCATTAATCCGTATACGTGTATCAATGTGAGCTTGGGCAACCCATGTTTATAGGGGCGGTTGGATTTATTTCATGGTAATTAGACATTTATTTCAGAACAAAAGTTAGAAACTCATTTTTGAGCATGAATTCTGCTTTTCAGCTCGGCATATGTAATTAATTTCCAACTACGCATGATAAAAATAAATGAGATCCACATCGTATATCAAATTTGCAGAAAAATCTCATTTCATAGATTTATTTGCAAATTATTTATCTTGCAAGTTTGTCAACGTTTGAAACTTATATGCAAAAGACAAATTGTAGTAATGAACAAAAATAATTGCTTATTGCACAATATAATTTTATCCACGCTCAAATATGCTGTCATATATGATTCTTGCCGTGCGCTCCTGCTGCTTAAACTTTTCTCTTTTTCGATTCACTAAATCTGTGAAATTTGCAGCAATCTTTTCTAATATTTGTATGTGCTTTTTGTTCTCCTCCTTTAACGTTCGTATAAGATTGTTCTGCTTTTCTAATACGTGTATATATTTTCTATTGTCTTTCTCTAAGCTTTGCCTATACTGCCGCCCCATATTTCTAATTACGGTATGCTCCTTTTTCAACTTTTTGGCGACAAACCAATCTTTTTTAAAATTGTTTATAAGTAGCTCAAAAAGACCCCTTTCCTCCCGCTGTTGAAAAAAATGTATAACATTCTCATCCCCAGAATCCGGTTCTTTTCGTGGATAACGATACTTTCGCATTCCAAAGTGTGTCAATCTGTTTTTGGGATAGCGCCATATTTGTATTCCAAGATAAGTCAGCTTTTTTCTGGGATAATGATACTTTCGCATTTCAAAGTAAGCCGACTTTTTTCTGGGAGAGCGAATTGCAAGCTGAGTCAATGCCGTTCTGGGATGGCGACCGACACAATGTTGTAAAGACCGAGGCATCAACGGGCTAGAAAATTATTTTGATGTGCAAACAAATGTTGCAAATAGAGAGTTGAGTTGCCAGCAAAAAAGCATATTATCGTACTCATCATTATAATAATCTGAAAAAAAGCTGCCCGTGACCAACCGGACTGGCCACTTGGCAGTCATGTGAAATCTTCGTCGCCAAGTGACAAGTACCCCAAATTTAGGTCCGTGCATTTTTCGAATAAATCGACAGCAATGTAAAACGGAGATTAACAGTAGATTAATAAATGTGACATATTAAAACGAAATCGGATTAATATTAAAACGAAATTTTCTCTATTTTAATATGAAATTTCAAAATTTTGGGGGAGTTTTCTAGGCTTTTTTTTGGGGGGATTGGGTTGGGATTTAGGGTAACTTTTGTTAATATAAGAGTATACAGTATGTGGGCTTCAGAGGCATTAAAAGAGGATCCAAAAAGACCCCAATTTTGTTTTAATCCGATTTCGGTTTAATCTGCCACAATAAACAATATCAATGAATCATTAATTTTTGATGTGATATTTGACTCATTTTTCAGCGCAAAAATTACGTCTATCAGTCTTACAAGAAATCCCGATACACATATTCTGCTAAGAAGCTCGCATAAAAGTATTAATGATACTCGGATACTTTGACGTTTTTTGTCCATATTAATACTGGTCGATAGATTTAACCTTACAGTATAGGCATTTTTAGTTTACATTTAGTAGTACAAGAAATTTTATTACCGTATAGTAAATTTTCATCTTCATCACTTGATACACGGTCTTACCCTGATATGTCGATTATACCATTTCA